TGCAGATAAAATACAGTAAACGTAAACTTTGCAAAAGAAGATTAAAGCAATGTAAAAGATTTGATTAATGAAAGGTGGTGTTTTCAACGTACATTCTCAGTTATTCTTTCACACACAGCGGGTACTTGAATAATGTTGAGTGACTAGTACAATAGGTTGAACACACGGAAAATCTACACAAACTTCCTATCTTTATACTAAAATTATGTAACTGTCGAGGATTTGCCTATCTCTAGGATGAAGACAAGTGTCCTCTTCATGCCCCTCGACCTCTATCTTCTTGCCACGTTGCTTTCCCTTAACTGTTGGGCGAACTGCATTTCCCTTCCTTCTTCAAAATCCAAATATCCTTCGTCTTTGATGCTGACACGAGGGTTGTTCTTCTATTCGAAGGTCACAGGACCTTTTCAGTCGAAGGCTTGATGGCGATGTCTGGTCGAAGACCAATTTGTAACTCAGATATTTCTCTAAGTTTTTCCATTCGTCGAAGCATTTTCCAGCTTGACTTCATTTGCTCTATTTTTGGCCCATAGGTCCAATTTATCGTGGGTGTCAAATTTAAGAGCCAACAAGTCATGAAATCGACCAATGGGTCACCTGTAGTCTCTAGAATCTCGAGACTTATTTTCCCTTTGTTTTTCTCTTCCTAGACGGGATATCGAGGGCTCATCATTCTTTGGGGCTTTTGCATTCTCCATATGCCGCAATTCCCTCGTGTTGTTAGTTGCCACCTTTTCTTCGGATTGGATGTACGTTTGTGCTTTGAGCAGGAGGGCATCCAGGGTGACCGGGGATTCTATGCCAACCGTCTAAGCGAAGTCACTACGAGGATGGAGCATGCGTTCGAGGAGATACTTTTTCATTCCTTCGATCATAGAGACCTACACGACTTCTTTGTTGAAGCGCTTGATGTATGCCTGGAGGGATTCATCCCTCCCTTGGATGGTCGCCTCCAAAGACGCTTCCCATTTGGGATGACGACGAGATATTGTGAAGTTCCTGTAAAATTGTCTTCCCAAGTTCTTCCATGACGTAATGGATTCATCTGGAAGGCTTTTATACCAAGTCATGGCTCCTTTCCTGAGCATAGTAGGAAAGAGCCGACATTTGATTTCTCCGCAAATCCCCTTGTAGTCGAGCAACACATCGATGTTTTCGATGTCCTCGTCAGGCCCGATCGTATCGCCATATGTCCCTAAAGGGGGAGGCTTCTCCAGGCCAATAGGGAGCGTAGTTTCCATGATCTCTCTTGATAATGGGTCGCGAGGCTCATCATCATCGCTTCCCTCGAGAGATAATGGCGGGGAATGATGATTCCTTCCTCGTCAGAGGTTGTTGTCTCGACGAAGAGACGTGCTTCTCCTTTGTCTTCTTGGAAGATGGGGAGCCTTGATATTTCTAGGGAGGCGTGCAATCGCACTTCTTGGGGGAAAGAAATGTTTTGCTTCTCCCTTCTGGTTGGTCGGCCACGCCTTGGTGGGGATAGGCTCGGGGAGTCGCGTCGTCGGTGTCTATGAGGGGGAGACTTTGATATCTTCTTCTCCCGTGCTCCCATCTTGTTGCTCTATTGTAGGATGAGAGTGTTGATTTGGTAAAAGGAAGCAAGCAGTGCTGCCATGGCCGAATCGACATTGATTGGAATCTGAATCGACTGAAGGATAGCGGGCATTTCCTCAGTAGGCTTCTTCAAGCTCTGATTCTCTAGGAGCTTCTCTAGAAAATGAGTGTCTTCGCGATCTGCATCAACTGAGTCAGGAGAGGTGGTTTGGCCATCCCTGAGATCGGGGACCTCCTCAAGGTTAGGTGGTTCTTCGTTCATATCTGCCTTGCGAACGAGGGAGAGCGCAGTCTTTTCAGAGAGGTGATGATCATCATAGTCGGCCATGATTGAACTAGTGAAGGTATCTTTGGTCTTCGATTTTGAGGAAGAGGAAGACGGGAAAGATAGCTTTCGACAGACGACGCCACTGATCTTACTGGTTGACCAGAACCTAAAAGTGGACCGAATTGATGACTTCTACTAGGCTGAAAATTTGTGGAGGGGAGGGGGTGTACCTGCAAGGCACTCCGACGATCTAGTGAGAAAGAGTGCAAAGAGATACAAGAAAGTGATTAAGGTTTTATGAGTGAATAATGGATACATGACCCTCACAAGTGTGAGGGTTTATATAGTTTCCTCAGCGCGTAGCCATTGGTCCTTATTTTTAAACCTAGATATGTGAGTCCGTGAAAATAAGTAACTGTCAGGACCTGGTCAAAACGAGTTGTCGTGACCGTAACTAGCCATTGCATCGAACAAGGATGAGATGACAGACCGAAACATATATGAGTGTTTCCTGGACGTTTGCTCTTCGTGTGTCGAGTAGACTGGGAGGTAGCTACCTGCACAGACAAACATGTTATTCAGGCATTTTTGGTCGCACCATTCAAGGGCATGGTCGACCAGAAATATTGGGCCAGCATTATTTAATTGTGCCAAAGGTGAAAACAAATTGGACCAATTCTAATTATTGGGCTAGTCCAGAACAATTAATTTTAAAAAAATATATATATAATATTTATGAAAGAATGTTTGAAGACATGGATTATGAGAATTAATAATAATTTATTTTTAGTTTAATTGCAAGAAATAAAGAATTACACACACTTCTAAAATTGAGTAGAGAGTGATATAAATCAAAATTAATAAAATTTAATACAAATTTCTAAAAGCAAGTGTGACAAAACAAATAATTAAACTAAGTAAAGCCAAATGCAATCATAAAACATATCACCCCTCCAATACCTAATGCATAAAAACTCAATGATTCATAAAACATAACTCCAATCCTACCATTCACACAACTTGTTCTCACATGCATTTGGATGTAAATGACCTGAAATAGCTTGAAAGTAACCATTGCCATAGCCTGCAAAAGTGACAGTTATTACCACAAATAGTTGGTGTGCAACAATTTTGAAACTATTTTATGTTCACAACTTATCTGAACTTATAAGAAACCAAAAATCAAACAGATAGTGAACCTATTTAAAGAAGTATCTGAGATGAATCCACCAATAAGAGAAAGTAAAAAAATTTAACCCATTTAAACATTATAATAAACTTGTAATATCACAATATAAAACAAAGTAGACACTAAAAAAAAGCACTATAATAACATGATTTTTCTTACACTCAAAATAAATTAAATGATCTTTAACTGTTCCACAAGTATAGTTGTCGGTCCTTGTAACCGCTGCAGCTAATTTTGTGATATCTATATCATGATACTTCTCATCAACAGTTTTAAAAGTTTCAATACCTAAATTTATGGTTTCTATCATCCAATGAAAATGATCTCACGAATACTAAAGGTCAGTTTGGCTTGAGAAAATAGATTTACAGTAAAGTGAATATTCTGTAACCAAAAGTGAAAATGGAAAATTAGAAGAAAAAATATATATTTAGATACCAAATAAGCCCTAAGAAATTAAGATGAAACTTATATATTACACTTGTGTTATATCTTCTCGAAACCGCTGCTTACCAACTCTGCATGAAACCAATTTAGATTTGGACATTCACAAACAAACTAACGAAAATACATATCTGAATAATAAAACTGAAATATACTAAAAAGAAAAACTCAAAACATACACCAAGGATGAAAACTCGCATCTTGGTCAAGACAGGTCTGAAAAAAATGAAAACTGGATAAATAATAAAATATTACAGATATGGAATTCACAAAACAAAAAAATAAAAAATACAGATCTAAACAATAAAATCGAAAAAAACACCTCGCGAGTCTTGAACAGAAGAACTGAAACGAAAATGAAAAAAAAAAACCTGTAAAAAAATTCCAAAACGCTAACAGAAGAACAACTTTATAAGAAATGATTTAGCAAAATGTGTTGTCCCTAAATAAAAAAGAATGATGCAAATAAAACACCAGGATTAGGAATAAGAACTACATAGAAAAAATAGAGGAAGTTATAAAAAAACCTAAAGATTGATGAAAATAAATATTGATTTAGGGTTGAGAAAGGGATGTGACTCATTCAATGACTCAACCCATGCCATCATGAACACACTATAACAATAGAGATTGGAATATGGATCATCACATCCCTTCTGATTTAAGGATTGAGATCACAAAGCAATCTACTAAATCATAATAGTTAAACTTTTGTCATTTATCAAAAAAGCTATTGCAACAAATCAATATTGATGGTGTGTGTGCTTCCTTGTATTTGGTTACTATGTATTATTATTGGAAAATTGTTAAGGATATGGGTGATTCTTCAATCTTGTCTTGTTTGTCATTTTCAGAGAAGTCATTCTAAGGTTGTGACACTTCTGAGCAGCACTAAAACAAGCAAATGTAGAATGAATGGCAAAGATATCCGTTTAAAAATTGTTCAAAAAATCTAAGCAGGAAAAAAAAGTCATAATTGAATAAAAAATTATGTTGAAAACAAAGAACCCAATTAGGGAAATTATGAGTTCTTCCATCAACTTATTTCCTGGGCTTTTAAAGCCACCAAGAAGAAGTGAGAAGGACTGACTCACTTGCATAAGCCATGTGTTCTGATGATGGTAGAGGAGTTAAAGTAATTCAAAAAATTTAGCTAATTCTTCACTTGAACATAGATGAGTAGACCAATTTTTGAATTCAAAATAAAACAATGAAAATTTCCTTCCATATATCAATCCAAACAGTAACATTAGTTCAATAATTTGAAGACAAAACCATTGATCATGAAGTGGGCATGACACACTAGGTGCCAAATATCGAATAATAGGTTACTAATGATACTTCAATTAATAGATTTTATTCAGTACTACAAAATATATAAAGAGCTTAAGGACAACTAAATCAAACAATGAGTCTTTTATCCATAAGGTCAATAATTGAATCACTAGTTGCAGTAGTGCTCAAATATTAGTCTCACACATCATGCCACGACGTCTAATAAATTTATTAATTTGGACTCCACCTTCCAGGTTGGATAGTACTCTACCAGAACAGCTCAGAGTCTAGATCTATCAAGCCCATTCCGTCTGTGCTAAAGTCAGCATTCTGGTAAAAGGATCCAAATGTGGTCGAGAAATTCAGGTCTCCCAAACCCTCAAAAAAGTCACTCAAAAGTGCACCTTCAGCAATATTTTCCTGAACAATAAACATGTTGTTATCCTTCAAGAAATTAAGAATCAATTATATATATAACAGTCATATTGTAAAATGACATTAACAATCTGAGGAGATATTAGAGGATAGATAAACGACTACGAGTACATAAGTAGAGAACACCAATACCAGGCATATAAAAGGAACATCACACTGTTTTCAAAAGATGAAACACACACGAGCAAAAAGAAGAAGAAACAACAAGCATACCTCAGGCAATGTGTTGTCATCTTTGAAAATATCAAGCATTGATATAATATCATCATCATTATTAGCAGCTTGATTGTCTGGATATGAAATACTTGCAGGGTCAGGAGAAGGCGTCAATTCAGTTTGACACGAAATGACAGGATCGGGAGTAGGCATCGATCCAGTTTGACACGAAATGACAGGATCGGGAGTAGGCATCGATCTGGTTTGATACCAGTTCACAGGTTCTGGAGAAGGCATCGATCCGGTTTGATACCAGTTCACAGGTTCTGGAGAAGGCATCGATCCGGTTTGATACCAGTTCACGGGATCAGAAGAAGGCATCTGTCCAGTTTGACATGAATTCACGGGATCAGGAGAAGGCATCAATCCAGTTTGAAATGGATTTGCAGGATAGGGAGAAGGCATCAATTCAGTTTGACATGAACTCATGGGATCGGGAGAAGGCATCGATCCAGTTTGACATGAATTCGCAGGATCGGGAAAAGGCATCGATCCAGTTTGACATGAATTCGCAGGATCGGGAAAAGGCGTCAATTCAATTTGACATGAACTCGCAGGATCGGGAGAAGGCAACAATCCAGTTTGACATGAACTTGCAGGATCAGGAGAAGGAATCAATCCTGATTGACATGAGTTTGCAGGATCAGGAGAAGGAATTAATCCTGTTTGACATGAATTCACAGGAGTGGGAGAAGGCGTCAATCCTGATTGACATGAGTTTGCAGGATCAGGAGAAGGAATTAATCCTGTTTGACATGAATTCACAGAAGTGGGAGAAGGCGTCAATCCTGATTGACATGGCATGGATATAAAACCACTACATCTACTAGGCTGAAGATGCTGGCCATTCATAACACAACTAATAGGTGTCACAGGTAAACTGGGAACATGCGCAGTCGATTCAACAAAAGGTATCCCCATTTCATCATCACTGTCATCTTCAATAAATGGTTTCCCATATTGCGCACCATTCTGGGGACCAGGACCTTCCTTTTGAAATACCCTACAGATCACATATGAATCCTGTCATAAAAAAAAAACTTGTTAAAAACAGGATGGAAAAAATATCAAATCAATTTAAAAGAAACCAAGAAGGGATATTAACTAAGACATGCAAAAACAGCAGACCTCATTTCGCCAAATAACATAATTCAATTTCAAGGATTCAACAATTCTAAAGTAACAAGTGTACTTTATAACCAATTATAAGAGCTAAATCAATGAAAATGATGATGAAAACTGTAATGTAATCAATGATTATTGAAAGAAAAAAACAAATGCCAATAGTATCAACACTAAGAGTACAAGAGATATCTTCATGTACATTCACATTCAAAGGCACAACTACAAAACTACCACATATATCTTCATGTACATTCAATTCTAACTTATACACATAACTCTCCCTAATAAGGCTCATAATATTATAACATTTAACAATTCAGAAACAAATGGCTACCTGAACAATCCCTTTGTCAGCCAGGTCCTTATCTTCAAGCCTATACTCATGCATAACCCAATCCGTTCGATCGCCACGCGGTGCTTTTCCAGTATGAAACACCAAGGTTTTTATCATCCCAACAGTATGATTATTATGTTGAACAGCTCTATCCTTACCCGTAGCTTTCCAAAACCCAATTTCAGTAGCTCGATTCAACCTCCCCCCACTTCCATACTTCTTCTCAATCGGACAGAAGAAGTACCATTCCAAATCCCCACTTTTCAGATAAGACATATCTATAAAAAAAAAAAAAAAACACCATTAAAACAAACAAACAAACAAATGTCACACATGAAAATTACTATACTAAATACTAAATAAACAAAATTAATGAAAGTACCTGGGAGATCCCAAGGTGCATATTTGTATATGTCAAGTTCAGCAATGACATCAGCATGAAACTTTTTCCCCATGACTTTCCTTTTTAGAAAGTACTTAATCAATTCAACTCCAGTAGGATGGAATCGAAACCCAGGAATCAATTTTGGTATAGCCATCAAAATCGAATCGAATCAAATCAATAACAAAAACAAACAATTCAATCTCCAATGAGGTTGTTTGTTTTTTGTATCCAACAAACAACCTCGTATCGTACCGACAATGATTATTATTATTATTATTATTATTTCAGAAAGGAATCAAGATCGTCACTAAAACAACTAAACAGAAAATATGAAAAGAGAGAGATTAAGATTAAGATTAAGAGAGAGAGAGAAAATTGAAAACCCTAAAATTGGAAGAGTGAAAGGAGAGAGTCAGGTCCAGTGACGGAAGAACGTTTTGAAAGAACACCAGTGTCTGCTAATGTTCATGACACAAGAACGATGACGAACGGATGAAAACGATGATGCTGTTTTTGGGAGGTGAAGAGTCATCGGCGATGTGAAACCCTAAATCGGAGATGGAGCGATTCGATTGGGGAAGAGAGGTGCGCGAGAGAAGACACCGTGTGTGCTGGTTGTGAGAATATAAAGTGGAGAAAGAAGTGAGGGGTTTTTCGTTTATATATATAATTATTTTATTTGGAGGCAATTAAGGATGACTTAGTCAGCTTCATATTTTTGTTTTTAAAATAATAATTAATTATAAGGGAATTTTTTTTCTTTCACACTTACTTTTTAGGGGAATGAACTCAGAGTTCCTCAATTAAAATACGAATATCGATCAATATTATTACCCATTAAAACTCAAATTTAGTATTTTTGAATGTCAGTCCTTAACAAGAGTTTCCTTATTACTAGATATGGCAATAAAACTTAAAAACGCGGATACTCACCCGAATCCACTCCGATGTTGATGGAAAAAATTTATTTTGACTGAGTTTAGATTTAGATTTAGGTTTTCTCTGATTATAAAATACAAAAACGGATCGCATAATAGAGACATTAGTATATACTTCGAATCCAACTCTAAACTCGTCTCATTTATTTGATTATATATATTATTATTTATTTTTGATAATTTAAAATATTAAACATGTGATTAATGTTTTGATATTTTTTATTTAAAATATTTGAAATATATATTTTTTTTTTTAAAAATTGTTTTATATTATTATTTATAACGTAATTTGATTTTGAAAAAAAAAATATTTCAATAAAAAAATTAATTTTACTATATAGATAATGGTGGGACGAGAATATCCGAAATCGTTTGAATCAGATTTAAATTTTAATTCTTCATCCTCATTTAAATTTGAAGAATAGAATAAAAATTGTTTGAAAATTTAGATTTAAATTTAGAAGAAATAATAATCATTCTCAACCTATCTCCTAATCATACCTCTTCAGGGAAAATCAATTATTTAATTAAAGGAATAACATCAGACAATTTACTTTTCGAATGTGATGTATATAAATAGAAGAGATTAAATTTTCATAGTTTGATAAATAAAAATTTGAATTTGATTGAATGATGCACACATGTTTAATGTTGAACATGCTTAAATTACATCATTCAAATTTATGGAAGACGATATAAGAATATGATAATCATCATTTTTTACAATTTTCTTTTAAAATATAACTATTTTTTAACTTTAGAAATTAAAAAAATAATTTATGAAAAATTGCAAATGACAAAACATTGTTATAGTACTTTTTTTTTTAAAATCAAATTGATTTATCTTAGTTTAGGTTTCATAATATATAATTCAGATCTTTTATCTCATTGGTAACAATTAAAAATAAATATAAAGTTTTAAAAAATAAAAAATGAAAATGTTTATAAAAAGTATAAAAAAAATAGTTTTTCATAAAATAATGAGCAAAAAACCTTTGTGTTTGCACATGAAAGTTAATTTACATCGGTTAATTTATGATTTTCGACTCGGGGTGTTCGGCAAGTAATGTGGATGTGAGATAAGTATAAGGGTTAAATGTGAGTTGCTAAGTTATGTCTTTCGACATCAAATTACAATATTTGACAACACAAGTTTTCGATAAAGGCAGATATAGAATTTAAAGACAGTTTCAACAATGGTAGTAATTAGAGACAGATCAAAAACCAAAGACACGTGGAAACACACTAAAAGACCGAAGCTCACATAACAAGATATGTGTTTAATCCTGGAGAAGTAATTGTTTCTGACAGTTATTGATGTACATACTACATAAGTAGATTTGATCTCAGGGAAAAGAGTTTGCATTTTCATTCTACTCTCTTTAAAATGCACACACCCAAGTCATAGAGATAAAGACTTTGTGAGAAATATAGGAATTTGTGTCTCACTTTTAATTTAAACATGTTTACTCGGGGTCAATTTGTTTCAGCTTTACAAAAATGAATTTTACTTCTTTTTATTTTCAAAAATGGATTTTATAAAATCGTTTTTTAAAATATTAAAAAAAATATATATTCGTTTTCTGAATTGAAAGACTAATTTTGACATTCTATGGCATAAACATATATTATTGATGAGTAAAATATAGTCGAAATCATAATTTTTTTTAAAAAGTTGTATTTCAAAAATGATTTTTTAAAAGCTATTTGAAATAGCTTCAAAATTAAGCGATCTTTTGAAATTTTGATATCCAAAAAAATTTTTGATAAAATGATGAAATTTGTAAAATAGTATTTTAAGAATAACTATTCAAACCAAATTTTTATTTGAAACTTTTATGAAAAGTTTATTTTAAAAAAAAAATTACATTAAAATATGTTATACTATAAAAATCAATTTTTAAAAAGTCAAAACAAACGGACCCTTAATTGCTTTTAGTATCATTCTTCATTTACTTTATCCTTTCAAGCAATTATGCATTTTACTTCTTGGATTTTTTATCAAATTGCTTAAAATTCAAATGTTAAACCTTTAACCACGAATATATTTTCACAAATTTTTTACACAAAGTGTCCTTAGGATTTTTTTGAGTTTAATCCTTTAAGTGAACTAAAACTTGTGATTCGTTTATTAAAAATACCAATAAACAAACATGGCACGTCCATTAGGACCCTTTTGTGCAAAAAATATTTTTAACCTTTGCAAAAGAGTGTTTGTACTTTTTTTCTATGTTATTCTTCATACATGCAATATTTTTAATGTGAGTATTTATGTGTACGAGGAGTGGTAAAATTGTAGAGATGACCCTTCAATCATAAAAAAAAAAAATCCTTCATTTCCCCTGAACGGCAAATCAAAGCGACTATTGGTGGGGGGCAGGTACTTCGACAACCATTTGAGTAACCGCTTCTGTTGTAAGTCAATTGTTAGTTGCAACGACATTACCTAAAGTGGAGGTTCCCCCACCACAACCAACTAGTTTTCCAACTACTCTCATGGTTACATAAACTACTATAGGAGACCATAAGTCTCCATTCCTCCCAAGCTTTACACTGCCCCATATTAGTAGAGAATATTCATATGGCGCCAACTGCAATGATAGCAGACCTATAAATTAATACATCTATGTATGCAAATAATGCAATGACTATTGCATCCCTTGTTAATCAATAATTATCATCAGGATATGCTATAAGAAATTCCAGTTAAATGGAACAACCCTAGAAGAGTTAAGATATATCCCACAGGTTATGTCACCCTTAACAACTAGTTCTCTCTTTCTTGTGAGGCAACAAATGGATGATAATAACCATGATATGGTTAATATGTTTGTCCAATAAATTAGTACTATGTTAAACCCTTCGTTGTACCCCAAAAGTTGTCCTCTCTTTTCTCAAGGCATTTCTCACAAGGATTCTCAAAAATTCAAGTTACACAAGTACAATTGGATTTTTCAGCATCAAGTTAAAGAGGAAACTGTTAAAAAAGGGAAAACAGATAAAAAATAATTTTTTTGACAAAATTGGAGAAAAAAACAAGTCTTCTTCGATTAACATCCTTCGATTTGACTTTTGGCCTTTGTAGTTGTTTAGTTATTGGCATGCATTTTTGGTAAAACCAGGTGTGTGAATGAATGTCATGACTGATGTCATAACATTCTAGTTTATTAGGTATTGATTCATTAGATACCTTTGCAGAAAAATATTGTCATACAGGTGCTGCTGTTTATGAGTGTGTATCTGAGCATTTTGCAAAAAGATCACATTTACCAAAATCAGTAGACAGGAATTCAGATGTCATAACAAATGTTAAGACATCCTGCTATGAACTAACAGTTATGCAGTTTGGGTAATTCTGAGTTTTTTCAGGAAAATGACTCAGTCTTTCCAGAACAGAAAATCTCGTGGACTTGGGGTTAACCTAGCTCAACCCTAACCTGGTTGATAAAGTCCTATGACCTAGTCTTAAGGTCAAACGGAATTAACCCTAGCTTTTTGTGGAAACCCTAACTGAAGATGCAGCTGCTATATATTCAACAGAGCTGCTGTTTTGGAATTAATCCCTTTTTTGACAGAAGATCATTTAGAAGCTGTATAGTTTTAACTATTGTAATCCAAGCAAGTATCATTGTGATAAGTGACTTGGAATAGGTTTTAATTGTAAGGGTTGTGTACCACTCAAAGCTTTGAAGCAAGAGTGTTTTTTTTGTGTCTCTTGACTAAAGCTTTGAAGCAAAGTCAAGTTAGATTTGTGTATCACTCAAAGCTGTGAAGCAAGAGTGTTTGTGTTGCTTGATTGAAAAGCTGTGAAGCATAATCAAGTGTATGTTTTGAAGAGTGTCTTCATCAATTCATTAGTCAAATTGTTTTAAGTATCACTGTTGTGATTGAGGGGGAGTGAGTAGGAACTCAGGTTTAAGTTGTACTTAGATTGAAGTTGCATTGGGTAGGTCTTAAGTGAAGGAGATAAACTGGTTGGTTTATTCCTGAATTAATATCTCTTATAGTGGATTTCCTCCCTGGCTTGGTAGCCCCCAAAGTAGGTGTTGTTGCACACTGAACTGGGTAAACAATTGACTGTGTTCTTTACTATTTTTGTTTTTACTGTCTTATAGAAAGTCAGATACGGTGTCATAACATTGAACGTGACATTGAGTATCTGCAGCCAGAATTTCAATTGGCATCAGAGCAGGCACCCTGCCTATATTACTGGGTG